GCTAAATACGCTGAGCTCTTGAGTAATTTGCTGGCGCCAAGAGACAAAGGCTGAATCAGAGCATTTCCCCAGATGGTTGCAGCTATCTTGGAAGAACTGATTATTTCAGAGCAGGACTGCAGCTCGCATTATTCTACCGAGCAGAATGTGACCCAGTTTCCCCAGGATGCAAGTGAAATTGTCATCGCTTCAAGATAAGTGGCTGGGGGGTTAAAACTTGAAACAAATCGGACTGTAACAGCAACAAAACAGCCGTGTTGGTGGAGGCCAAACAGCTGAACTTCCCAGCTACCGGTGGTTCTGAGCAAGTGCAATGCTGCTGCTCTGCCCTCCAGGGGGGCAGAGCCAGGGGGCGTGGGTGGGGACCTTCAAGCACAGGCCCACCAGAGGCACTCTTCTTGCGCACTGCCTTCTGCCTCCCACCCACAGGATGCGCCGGCTTTCCTGCCCCGTAGCAGTGGCAATGGTTTCTTCGTTCCTTCAGCTTCCTCTGAGCTGCTACCTGCTTAATGGGAAGTAAAATGTGCTGTGAGTTTTCTCACTGTGAAGTGAACTTGGTGGTGTCTGGCCAGCCTTTTTTATTTATTTGCTTTACTGATATATTTTATATATATATGTCTATCAGTAAATATATACTTTACACACTTCATACATATATACGTTCACTGTGATGTATATATTAAAAATTATATAAAAGAAAATAAAAACATTTAGCCATTTAAGATAGCTGCTACCGTCTCTGATGGTAGTTATCTGTAATTTTGTCCTGATAATATTGTCATGTATCCCACTGGAGAAGCAGGAGCCCAGGCCCCTCAGCTCTGCGGCCAGGCAGCCCCTCAGTGCTGGCGGGCGAGGCTTTGGGTTCTGGGCAGGGCTTGGGCTTCTCCTCTCCCTTCTAGTTGCTCGCTGGCACAGGAGGGGGAGCAATGCTCTTCTCATGCCTCTCTAAGGAGCTGTGGACCACAGAGAGGAGATGGCACTTTGCCTGTCCCACCCTTTCCCCAGGACCCCCCAGACCGGTGTAACGGTGGCCACCCCGTGGTATCGCTTAGTTCCTGGCACCGCCAACTCATCCTTCCTCAGTATCTCTCGGTAACACCGCTCTGATGGTTTTAGCTAATGCCTCGGGATCTGCCTTTGCACTGGTCCGTTAGCCATAACCCATAATTAGGCCACCCAGTGGGACTCCATTAATGCTTAGACACTGGAGGATGTGAGCTGGAAAACAGGTTGTTTGTTTTCAACAAACATGAGCAAATAAAGTGATGTTGGCTTTCTGATTTTATGCCCTGCTAGGGAAATTCCTGAGCAGGGTTGGTTATTTTTAGTTTCTAAATATCCTTAATAACCCTTGTAAAAATGCCGGTCTGCTTGCCCAAATAGGACATTAAGGAGTTATATTTACATAGATGGAGACAGCGACTGTCAATTGTTTTTGTGATTCAAAGCTTTGTGATGAGAACACAAGAAATATATGCAGTTAAAAACCAACTGTTAGCCGCCCACCACCACTCAGCACTGCATGCCTCGGACATTACCAGGGAATTCCATTTTTTTAATCCTGACACTTTTCCAAGAGACACAGACACATCCTTAACTGACGTCAGTCAGGACCGCCCAGCAAAGCTAAGCGGAGCTCTACGTGAGGAGCCAGCTCCCTAATTTCTATCTATTTGTATTAATTTAAAAGCCATTGCACCGCATTGCTCAGGAAACTACTTTGCTACGTTAAAAAAAAAAAAAAGAACAACGTAAGTCTAGATGCAAAGAAAATCTCTCCACTGCAGAAAGAAGGCAAATATAACTCCATATTTTCTTTTCTTTTTCTGATTTATTTTAGGCAAGAAATCCTTCAGCATGTCGACGTAATAAAAAATTTTTCTCTGACCAAGAGCAGTGTTCGGATTGGACAGCTGATGCATTATGACTATTCCAGCCATAAGTATGTTTTCTCGATCAGCAATAACTTCAGATCGCTGCTTCCTGACGTGTCGCCCATCCTGAACAAGCATTACAATATCTGTGCCGTGGTTGGAAATAGTGGGATCCTCACCGGGAGCCAGTGTGGGCAAGAGATAGATAAGTCTGATTTTGTTTTCCGTTGCAATTTTGCTCCAACGGAGGCTTTCCAAAAAGATGTCGGAAGGAAAACCAATCTCACGACCTTCAACCCCAGCATCCTAGAGAAGTATTACAACAATCTTCTGACCATTCAGGATCGCAACAACTTCTTTTTAAGTTTGAAAAAGCTAGATGGGGCCATCCTTTGGATCCCTGCTTTTTTCTTCCACACGTCAGCAACGGTCACGAGAACACTGGTCGACTTCTTCGTTGAGCACAGAGGGCAGCTGAAAGTCCAGTTGGCTTGGCCGGGAAACATAATGCAGCACGTTAACAGGTGTGTGTTCTCACCTTGCATTTAACGTGTCAAAATATGTACAAATACAACGCTTGGTTTTTCACCCAAGTGAGTGAGTTCGGGGCAGCAGAGGGAGAGGCTGCAGGAGCAAACCTCCCCTCGTGGAAGAGCTTCTCAGCCGGCAGACAAGGATGCTGACAGACAGCTGAATGGCGATAAACGATAAATCGGAGGAGGGTCACGTTGCCACGTCGTTAAGAAATGCCCATGTGAGCAGGAGCCAGTGAACCATACTTTCCTAGATAACACACTCCCTCTCCTGCTCAACAACCAGAAGCATTCAAAAAGGGATGACGAGAGACTGTGGGTCAGGTTGTTGCAGACTGACCTGAAGAGCAGGCTTTGCCTGCTACCAGCTCCCAGCTCTGATAGTGTCCAGGCAGTAACTTATTTTTCCTTGCACCCCAGACTAACACGTCTTCCTTTTTTCCCACAGATACTGGAAGAACAAACACTTGTCGCCCAAGCGGCTGAGCACAGGTATTCTCATGTACACCCTGGCTTCTGCCATATGTGATGAGATCCACTTGTACGGCTTCTGGCCCTTTGGGTTCGACCCCAACACAAGGGAGGACCTCCCGTACCACTACTATGATAAGAAGGGAACAAAGTTCACGACCAAGTGGCAGGAGTCCCACCAGCTGCCTGCAGAGTTCCAGCTGCTCTACAGGATGCACGGTGAAGGACTGGCCAAACTCACCTTGTCCCATTGTGCCTAAGAACCTAAATCTTGAAGTGCCAAATGATTGTCTAAAAAAAGTGCCCAAAACCGAATTAAACATTCTTCAGATCTAATTCTAAAAAAAAAAAACCACAAAAAAACCCCACCATCCTGAAATATTTTCCGTAATGTAAAGATGCTTTTTAGTCACGCTTGTCACTGCTCATCAAAGGGTTTAAGCGTATTTAGCAGCGCAGAAACATTTATCAGATTCTGTGGATGCTATTCATGCAGCAGCAAAGTTGAAGTATTTGGCATTTATAGATATGCCACTGAGTATGTTTTCAGATATTTTCATATTTTAGCGTTCTGCTAAATGCCCTAAATTTCTTAATTTTATTGTTCCTTCCCAATTAGAACTAGAAATGCGAATTTTAAAAGGTTTTGCTTCTTTTGTATATGTTGCTCTCAGTAGCTCAGCATACACATACTGCCGTGGCCAACCGGGAAAGCCACGGCGAATTCCAGTTCATTGTCACCTGCAAGTTCTTCAGTGTGGATCCTGATATCCACCACTTGCATATTTTCATATTTACTGAATTTTATGTATTTTTTTAAAAGAATAATGTGAAGAAGGTCACAATATGGCTCGTACCTTAGCTAGGTGTTTAGATTGCTCTCTGAATAATTCAGCATTTTAATTCAATTAAAGCGGAGACGGAGGTGCCAGCCTGCCCTGCTCTCAGTCCCTGGCTCCGCTGGGCCCCCCGGGCTGGGCAGCAACGGGAGCTTCAAAACTGTTTTTTAAGGGGAAGCAAGCACAGCAGGAGTGCAGGGGAGAGGAATTACAGTTACCAAATTTCCCCATTTCCATCTCTAAATCTGCAGCCAGACAACAAAATCAGTGGCCCCGTTTTCTGGTCCCCAACAGCCATCCCAGGCAGCCAAAGGAGGACACGGCTTCCTCCATGCCACTGAAGATGGGGCTGTTTGTGGAGAGGACAAACCAGAGCGTCACTGATGTCTCAAAAATGTTGGCCATGATGTCTCAGGATAAAGGAGCCTGTAAAATAACTGGGTTTCTTACTACCACAAGGATGCTTACAAGTATTTTAACATTTTTCTACTATTCTCTTATGACGCTGAGAACCGGCTACATACTGAAACAAGATGCAAAACCCAATTCAAAACCATACTTTGAAGTGGCACTTTTTAATTTTTCTCAGCCTCTTTACCTGTAAGATGTAGGAGGTGAGGAAGGAGATCTCAAGTCCAACCTGAGCAGCCCGGAGCATCTTCCGGTGCCACCGTGGCTCCACCAGCTGTTGAAGCCAGCCCCTCCTCTCCCCTGGGCAGGGAAGGAGCTGGCAGTTTCCTTCCGCGTTTTAATCATCCCATATCCTAAGGCTTTTGCTTTTCCAAAGGCGGCTTAGTGCTGGGGTGTGCTGTGGAGTATCTCGGGGCTCCCTGGTGCCACGGCACGTCACTCCGTGGCACTGAGCTGAGCGCTGAGCATCCCCGAGGCTCCGTCTCTCCGTGCTGCCACGTCGGTCCTGGCTCATCACCGTTCCTATGGCAGAGTATGACCTTTGGCAACTGTCCTTAGGAAGACATAGTCGTGCAGTGATGGTGATGTCTTATGCCATATGGTGCCATGTGCGTTGTTCTAGATATTATCACATATCTTTTTGTGTCATGGTCACGTGCGAGGGCCCGGGCTGCGGAGTGGAGTTGGGCTGTTCTGGGCACAGACCTCCATGGAGGATAATGACAGGGGAAAGACTGGTCCCCTCAAGCCCCTCAGCTCAGCGAGGGCTGCAAGATCACACCCTCTGGACGGCAGGGCAGCAGGTCGGAGCGGGCAGCCGGGAGTCACGGGGCCGGGGCCTGCGGGCAGGACCAGCCCCGATCCAGCCCTGCAGGACCCTTCTCTGGGAGCACATGGGTTGTTTTTGCCGAATTTGCAGTGGGAAGGGAGAATTCTGCATGGGTTGTTAATGAAGCACAGCAATTAGGCATCTTGGGCAGCGGTTCCCATTGAGCCGTGCGGCAGCAACATGGTGTTGCGGTCACAGAGGTGTGCTGGCAGTAAAGGGCCACGCCGAGCCCCAAGGGATGCCCACTGTCTTGTGGCTAATGCCAGGTATTTTAGCTGAGAAGCATTTTATCAATTTCATGTAGGGAGCGATTGTTTTTTAATCAACGAATTAAAGAAATGTGAACTATTCTCGTTACGTTGGCCTGGCCGTGGAGGCTGGTGCGCTCTGCACAGTTTGGGCTGCAGGCATCCCGCGGAAGGTGGCACCGGCAGGCTCTGCTTGGCTGCT